CAGTTTTTAATTATTATCAATTTCAATTAGCAATTTCTAATTGTTATCAATTCTATTAACAATTTCTGATTATTATCAATTTCTATTATCAATTTCTAATTATTATCAATTTCTATTAACAGTTTTTAATTATTATCAATTTCAATTAACAATTTCTAATTTTGTAAATTCAAGAAAAGAAATGAATGGAAAAGAAAATTGAATAATTATAAAATGGCAACAAATTACAAATTAAACTTTGAATTTTTTTCTATCCTAAAATTTCCCTTAAAAAGAGGAAAGGAAAAAAACGAAAAAATAAATTGCAATTTATAAATTTATTTTATTCGTTGATTTCTTTAAAGAAAAATAATTGCAATGAATCGATAATTTGATTATTTTAATATATTTCTTTTTTTTTTATTTTGTTTCTTTGAATAAACAAATTTATTGTTTTTCTTTTTCGATTGTTTATTATTTTTTTTCTCTTTTTCTTTTTGTGCTTTGTTTTTGTTTTTGTTTTTATTTTTGTTTTTGTTTTTTTGTTTTTTTTGTTTTTTTGCTTTGATCTTTTTATATACAAAAAACGGCATGATCTTTTCAGATATGATTAGAAAAGAAAACAAAATGAAAAGTAAATGGATAAATTTGAATGAATAATTTATTTATGAATTTTAATTAAAAAAGAAAGATGAAAAAAAAACGAAATGTTTTAAAATTTGTATTAAAATATATTTGCAAAAGTTTCCAATTTTTACCGAATATGCAATGCAATATAATTAAGTTTTTCCTCTTTTTGTTGAAATGTTAAAATATATTTGAAATGTTAAAAAAATGTAAAAATTAAATTTGGAGAATTCATTTCTCCATTTTGTTGTTGTTGTTATTGTTGTTGTCGTTTTTGTTGTTGCTGTTACTGTTGCTGTTGCTGTTGTTGTTATTGCCGTTGTTATTGTTGTTGTTGTTGTTGTTGTTGTTGTCGTTGTTATTGTTATTGTTGTTGTTGTTGTTGTTGTTGTTGTTGTTGTTGTTGTTGTTGTTTTGTTGTTGTTGTTGTTGTTGTTGTTGTTGTTGTCTTAATAGTTTACATATATATATGCAAAAATTGAAATGTTAAAAAATTGAATTTTTAAGGACTCATTACTCATTCGAACTCATATGCTAGCATGGGGAATACCATTGGGTGCTGTAATTTTGGCTTTAATGGCACAAAGTATTCGAGCTGATTCATTATCGGGTGTTTGTTTGGTTGGTGGTGGAAATCGTATCATTGAAGCAGTATTTGTTTCGTTACGTGAATTAATCCTTCTTCTCTGCTCATTAGTACCATTGTTTTTCGGATGCTTAGCACTAATTGGTATGTATAATTTATTTTTATTAAATTTCAAATTAATTAATATTACCATATCAATTAATAATAATTACCTTTTCTGATATTATTATCATTTTGCATTTTTCTCACCTATAAATCATATTTTCTTGAAATTCTTTTTTTGAAAAAGAAATATTAATTTGAGGAAGGTTATCCTTCTTCAAATTAATATTTGAATTTTGATTTTGAATTTCTATTTTTGAATTGAAACTATTAAAATTAAAAATAGGAAGAAATGAATCGATTTAATTTTCGTAGAACTATTAATTACTCTTTCCAAATTTTTATCGTTGTTTTATTTCTTTAAGGCTCCGCTCCAGCTACTGATCAGTCTGTTGCATCAACCGGTTTACTTGGAAGTTTATATCCGATCGCTGCTGCATTTTTATTGCTAAGTTCTCTACAGTATCTTCTAACACCTACAGCAACCGGATGGAATACTGTAACAGCAATAAAACTTTTAGCTGATCCATTACTTGGAATATTAGCATCAGCTGGTTGTTTGGTTCAAATTCTTCTCAATATTTTTAAAGCTAATCGTTTGCAACTTTTGGATAAGAATGGTTATCAACCGGCTGCACCGCAAATACCTCAACCAGCAATTCCATCATATACTGTAACAACAAATAATGCTTATCCCTTATCTAGGTGTCCGGAGCAAAGACCACTTTGTTGATCTTATTGGATAATTTAGCTTACGATAATTATATGTTAATAATTGAAAGTTTTGCTATTAAATTTACTACTGTATTGTGTAAGGAGTGTTAATTTGTGATGTATTTCGATTAATTGCTAATTACTGTATTAAGTAAATGTTCTTTTTCATTTATTTATTCTTAACATTCTTATAATATTGTCATTACAGCTGATTACAGCTGGCAATTATTATAATAAAATACGATGTATGTAAATTGAGAATTTAAAAAACAAAATATAGGAATGATAAATTTGTATTATTGATAAAATAATACAAAAGATTATTTTTGTATTAAAGAAATATGAGTAAATAAAGGCGATAGAAAAACTGTGATAAAATATATTTTTGAAATTAATTTAATTTAAGATTCTCCAATTTTTAAATTTCACTTTATTCATGTATAGATTATGTATTAAAATGGTTTATAAAATTACCTGCAAAAAGAAAAGTGATTTTAAATTGTTTTTAAACAATAAAATAAAATCACATGAAATTATTTGTTGCACAAACTATTATTAATATAATGACACCTTTTTGTTACCTAAATTTTTACTTAAAAAAGTTACCGTCTGTTTTTAATCGCAAAAAATATGTTCGTTGCATGGGAAATTAAAAAATCAAAAATGAAAGAATTTTGATCAATCATTGAATTTCAGGTTTCTTTTTTAGAGAGTGAAAATTTCTACCTAAAAAATATTAAATATTTTCATACGAAAGTTTATAATGGATGATATTAAATAATCATTTGTTATTGTCGTCATGTATATAAAATTTTTTATCAAAAAATATTTTTCAAATTATATTTATATATATATATATGATGATGAAGTTTGATAAATAATTGTTCTGCTGTCAAAATGAAATGAAATTTAAATTTCTTTTGAAAATAAATTTTTAGGAATTTGTGAAAAATTTTACTGTAAAGAAAATTTTACTGTAAAGAAGAGCTAATTTCATTATTATTTAATTCCATTAATTGATTAATTAAATAATTCCAATGGATAATTGATTCGAAAAGTTGAATTTTCTTTTATCAAATATTTCCTGTTTTAGACAAAAGTTTAGAAAAAAATTCATTAAAATGTAGATTTTCATACGTCTACACTATTACTGTGAGAGAAATATTTGATTAATACAGTACTCACAGAGGTACTTTCTGTTCTATCGGCTACTGTAATCACACACCGCGTGGATACTATCCTTTCTAATCTAACGATTACTGTAACCACATACGCATTTGTTTCATTTCTCCTATATATTCATATATATACTTTTTATATATATAAATATGCACAGAGGTATTTTCTATTCTACCGTTTACTGTAAAGTTCTTTTTTCTTTTTGATTTTGGCAGTATATGTACCGTATTTGTCCGAAAAGTTCAATGATAACATAACACAGTATTCAATTAAGTTTTAATCATATTTAATTGATACCAGAGAAGAATAAATTAAGAGGAAATATAAAGCATGTGTGCATGTGTGTATATGTGTATGTGATTACAGTACTAAATAATACAGAATAAAGGTAATGATAATTTTGCACATGTGATTGCTTAAAATATATTTATTTGTTTTTCTATTTATTTGTTTTTATTTATTTGTTTTTATTTATTTGTTTTTATTTATTTGTTTTTATTTATCTGTTTTTATTTATTTGTTTTTCTATTTATTTGTTGTTTATTTTTTTGCTTTGTTTTTTTATTAAAATGCTTACTTTATTTCACTTCCCTTTTCCAATTCCTTTCTACTTTATATTATTACTGTTATTATTATTACTATCATTATTATTTTATTTCTACTAATTACTATTAATTATTAGTATCACTAACCATTAGTATTATTAATTATTATTATTAATTACTATTAATTATTACTATTGCTATTGTTATAATAAAACGCATAGCTTATTACTAAATAGTTATTGTGGAATTTCGAAATTCAGAATTTGAATGAATCTTTCAGATGAATAACTTTGCAAATCAATAAAGAGGAATCATGCAATGAATGATAAATAATCAATGCTATCGTTTAACATAAATCTAATCATTAAGTTTTAATGATAGAATGAAATGAGTTAATTACCAATATCTCATCATATTTCATCTGAGTAAAGATTTTATTCAGATTATATTATAAAATATACTACCTCCTGATTGATCATTACGGTGACAATCTCTCTCTCCATCCTCTATATGAAAAAAAGAGTATGTGGAATAGATGTGTGCTCCGAATATGATAATGCTATCAATCATTTATTGGTGACTGTTTATTTACTTAACATTCTAAATGCTATGAGTAATCCAATACTGTCATATTTCAAACAACAAATTTCTCTTTTGATGCAACCGAAAATTGGATGATATATTTGTTGATGTATTTCGAAATACGTTTGATTTTAGAGATTGTGAAACGAAGAATGAGATTAAGTATAATAAAATAAAGTAACAATTTTTGAATTATTGCACACTGCAATAATTTCAGGACTATCATAATGCGTCAAAGTAACACATTGCTTATGATCTGTAGAATTTTCAATTCTAATAATTTATACAGCAGTTCTTGATGTGAATTTTAGTGAAGGTGTTAGAATCCAATCGAGAAGAAGGATGATTTGAGATAAAATTGAGATTTCAAATTATATATTCACTGAAGCGATCAATAATTTTTTTTAAAAGAAATAATACACACTTCAGTGCATTTAAGTTGCTGGATATTGAATTCATTTTTAATTTTTGATGACAAAAAATTATCAAAATATTTAGTTTATGTAGATTGGCAATATGAACATTCGAAATGCAAGTTAAAATTACAAATTAATTATCAGGACTTAAACAATGTACAAATCACAAAAAAGTTTCCATGGAAATATATTTCAAAATGCAACCGTCAGATAAGTGGCATTTATGTAAAATGTCGTTGATCTTTCAAAACAAATTTTCGACCTAAAAAATTATATTTTCGTTTTACAAATCTTAGCCTCAGAAACATTTTTTGGAATCCAATCAAAATTTTTTGGTAGTGGTGGTATTTCGATTGAATTTGGAATGTGATCCAATTCAAGCAATCGCATTTTTAACTCAATATTCAAAAATCGATCCACTTGTCGCTGAGCTTGAATCGACAGCTTATCGACACCTATAATTAGAGTTTCTCAGATAAACTGGTTCAAAATTCAAATTTTAGCACTTGAAGCAATATGTTATCAAGAAAAGCAGAACGTTTGTATTTGAACAAAATGCAACAATATATTAATAACATTGTAAGACGTCGAATGTAAAAAATAGATGAATTACCAATCAGGGCATTGATGCCATCACACCATGCATTTATCGTTTGCTCATCAAAAGTCACCAAATGATAAATATCAGGCTTATCACCAACTTCTAACGTTATGCCACGTACATTTGAATTTTTCTTTCCCTTTGTACTACTCATTGGAAAATCGCCTTCACCGCCAGCTACGACACGTTGTATATCAGCAATATCTACTTAAATATATTTCTTTAATTTTGAAAGAAAATAATTCGCAAATAATTAATATAAAATTTTATATGAAACTGATAGCAAATTCATTTTGACTTCACTTTTTATATTTCCAGAAGAATTTGCATTTGATGAGGATTCTGTGCTTGAGCAATCTGTACAAATCAATGTCTTTTCATTTGCATCCAATTTCCAAAACCAGAATTGTTGTCCTCAAAAAATATCTGTTAATCAAACAATTTTGTTTGCCTTTATAAAATATATTTTTTTGATCTAATATCTTATAATTTAACTGATATGTATTTAAAAAACATAACATAACATTGGTATATAATAATTGATAATATTTATATTCATTCCTAACTAATGATTTACATAAAAGAATGCATATTACGATCTGCTAAAAATAAGATCACGCTTGATTTCGCATAGCAAATTATTTAATTTTTCAAATTCTTGCATTTGTCCTTTAGTGTTATAGATTTCCTCCGGTTTTTTCTGCAAACTATTTATTAGTGATTGCTGTTGTAGTGAGGAATATTTTATGTATCGTTTTTTTCTTTTTCATTTTTCCACTTTACTTGTTATTATCGAATATTAATTCGTATTAAATTTTCTTGAATTGAAGATGTTGGTTTTCCCTTTATTTTTCCGTTTTTGAAATTTCATAGTTTTCAAATCCATCAGTACTTGAAAAATTCGAGAAAAATAAGGCAGCACATGAAAGCACAGTATGAGTTGGTAAATAAAAGAAAACCTTTTTGCATCTGTTTGCTTTTTACTAGCTTCCCAAATTTATAGCCATTTTTTAACACGTTTTTACGATTCTTCAAGACCAGTTCAACAATACTTGGTCGAAGATACTCTCGTAGTTCTCTGAAAGACGAATTGATTTCATCACACTTAAAATATTCCGGAATTTCTACGCTAAATCCACAGCAGTAGAATCCGATTTGATTGAAAAAAGACTATTAAAATCTTCTAAAGCTTTAAAATTGGTTCAGATCAATTATTTTCGTGCAGTTGGCTGATAGTTTGAGTGCGGCAAACCCAAAAAAGTAAAACAGTTTCAAACTTTAAAAATTTACTTCACTGCGTCACTTTGTAATTCTTCTGCTTCTTTAGCACTCCTTTCTTTTTCCCAAATTTTCTTCATGTGCGGATATGAATGGGCTACTAGCAACTCCTCCAACCTTTCGATCGTGTCTGGTTTTTCTAGCAAGCAAACATCAATTTGCTTTCGAACAACTGCCAAAACCTATAATAAATTTCTTCCCTGCATTTCTTGAATAAGCAATTAACCGGAATATAGGGGCAATATGTAAAATTATAAAATTACGTATAGGATGAACGATCGACGATGAATTCATATTCTATTCGAAATTTGTAATAATTTATAATCAGGAAATTTCAGAGTCATACAATGTTTTTGTGAAGGGATTTCAAACTTAACACTGGCCTCATTGTTTTACAAATATTCAGAACTGAACACTCTCAAAAAACCAAAATACTTGTGTAAGATAAAGTGGTTGAAACAATTAGCACAAAGTTGTATTATAGAAATCTGCACTATAAAGATTGCTCATCAATGGCTCAAACTGTTTTAAAGTGTTAAGCTAATATTCGGTTCGCCTGATTGTAAAATGTCAAACTGACCATTTGTACACTCAGCCTTCCAGGGAGATAATAATGACCTTCGTTTGTTAAATGATTGTAAATGCTAAGCTGACCCTTTGTTCACATATCTCTCTTTGTTCCAAAGGGATTATAAATAGTATGCTCCGCTTTGATTCGAGCAATATCATCAGTCTCAGTACTGTGAGTTGTGTCGGTACTAGTTCTCAATAAACACTGCGATCTGTACAATATCGCGGACAATCTTCACCAGCAGTACTACAGGAGTACTACTACCACTAGCACCGACTATCCGACTATTTACTAATAGTTATATAAGAATAAACCTTCCGCCAACCAATGAAACCTTTATCCTAATAATTCCTCTATATTAATCCAACAGCACAACAGCAAATAGGTTATTTCAATCAGCCACAAAACCCAGCGAAATCAGTATATTTCATCGGTTCGTCAAGATATGAAAAATTTTAACATTACAAAAAAATTGCCAAAATTAATGTAAGATTTCCTTCTACCTTTTTGATGTCTTCTTCACTTGCATGCATTTCACGCCATGTACGATGAAAAAGTTTTACAAGCACTGCAAAAAGATCCAAAAATGGTCGATCACTTTTGAACAATAAAACCATTAACCGATCACCTTCTTCTATAAATACTTCATTTTTTTGGTTATTTATGCGGCAATATTCTCTAAAAGATGGACATAATTTTTAAAATATTACCAGGTTCATCAACAATATGAAGGATATCAATCAGCATTTGCACCAAATGAACCGATACCGGCAGAAAGGACCATAGACTACTATCAGATCTCATTGAATTTTCCATGGATATCTGGTAATAATCACATGTATTACGTAAAGCATCAACAAACAATCTAATTTCAAACTAATTCTAATTCCAAGCTGTTGTTTGCGCTTATTTGAAAAAGAAAATAAAAATGAAACATGAAAACTATTACTGAGAAGATGTCTTGTTTTAAAGTGAATTTTGCTCAATCAAAAAATTCATGAAAAGTTATTAACTTACTTTTGCAATGGAATCGCTATGATGAGTAGCAAATAAGAGAATTGTTTCTAGTGCTAGTGATCCTGGTGGAGTTCCTATGACCGCTTCTGTGAAATTTAAAAATTCTGCACGCCTTTCCTCTGATGCAAGCATTCCCTTACCGCCCTCACCGTTGAAAAGTTTGAATTGCTGAATATCTCTGACAACTATTAAACACAAAGTTTTCTTTAATTCGACAAAGCAAATTTAGAACACATAAAATTCTAATAAAGACGTGTAATAACTGCACGTATAATTAATTACTCATACATAATCAAATATTTTTAAATAGCAATTCGAATGCAAAAACCAAAAAATGTTTTATTTTTCACAATAAAATTTGAACATTGTCTTCTCGTTTCATAAAACAAATTTGTAAACTAGATTTTTTTCAATTTTAACCTACAAAAACTCGTTCGATTTCTGCTTCTGTAGGAATACGCATAGCTTTTTGAGATAGTTGATTCAGCTGAATCCGTTGTATTGTAACAAGTTGCTGCTCAATTCCAACATCCAATTGTTTTCCTTTCCTCAGCACCGATTTTTCAATTGCACAACGAAAAGGTGTTACGTGGAGATTCTTAAAGTTTAATATTATGCAAAAGCATACATTGAAACTGCACTATTCTTAGAAATTATCTCAAATCGTTCGATGAAAGAAGTGAGTGACTCTGTGTAACTTTTCATGAAATGTTTCTAAATGGGGATTTTGACAACCTTACTTCTTGAGCCATTTTATATTTGTATTTTCAACGAAGCATACGAACATTAAACCATACGAAAGAAGGCAGAGAGATAAAAAGTGAAAAGAGAAATAACAGAAGCAAAGTTACTAATACTTCAAATAAAGTGCAAGTCTTTTTGCATCCGAAATCTAAATTGAGTTTAAAGAATAAATAAAGTGACTGATGTTATGTTAATCGGCTGTTAATGGTATTTGACTGTTACCACCTTCAAAGGTCAATAATGTTCAATGGAACAAATTCTAATATTAATATTATTATTTTTTAAGATTTTATAACTAATAAAAATCAAAATTTTCATGACACTTTTACGAGAAGTAAAGATCTCTACACTTACCTCTATGATATCATTTTTTACATGATCCCTGGCCTTGTTGTACAAAGAATTCATTAACGTTAAAACATTCAAAATAACTCGTTCGTCTGATTTCTCAAGATGACGTATAAGCGATTCGAATGGTACTTCCCGTAACACTAGATTCATTTTTTCTTCACTGAAATTCGAAACCATTAGCATTACCAAAAATATGAATCGTCTTTCGAGAAATCCTCACAAGAAATTTCCAGAATTTCTTCTTTATGCACATTAAATCAAAGAGAAATGAACTTGGAAAACTTGTAGATATTATAATTTCACAAATTTAATGAGCATAATCCGTTCTAACAACAGAAGTCTATCATGATCGATAACCAAGGGATCATGTCGGTATAAAAAATATCAATCATAACTACTCCAGCGCCAAAAACCAAAATCATTTGGAGTCATCAAAAAGCATATTATGTGTCATTAAAAACAGAGTTCATTAAATAAGCAAACTTATTTCAGCAAAAATGTAATAGAAAGATTTCATACTTTTTAGAATTCAAAATGAGATCGATGATATTAAGTGAGGAAACCAGCAGGGTATTATCCTCTTGTTTAGCTCTGCCCGTAATATTTTCTGCTATTTTGCAAACGAATTCATCCGAAACTTGTGACCAATACATTAAACCGGGATGGTCCATTAACATCAGCAATGCTTGCAAGAATCGAGATTGACAGGAAACGCTGCTAAAGACAACCACTTCAAGTAGTCTTCAATCTGATTAGCTAGGCGTATTTAAATTTGAAAGATTTCACTCACTTCTAGATAAATATCTAATTTTATCTTATACAAATCATCATAACTTATTGTAATATGAAATTACTGGCTTGACATGTTTGATTTACCATTTTTAATAAATAGTAATTTATAATGTCGAAAACTAACAAAATTGCCAAAGTTCACCACAGGAAATATGAAATGTTAAAAAAAACAATAAAGGATTTCAGAAATTATTCTGGGCAATGAAGCTAAAGACATACTCTGTGCATAATCCTTTCTCAATAACTTCAAATATATAATCATATCCACCTATACGCATAAACTGCGTTGCAAACGAAACATCACCGCATAAAGTAGTCAGTTCAGCAAGCGTTGTTCGTAGATCCCCTGAAGAACTACGTAAACGTGCCAAAAGATTGTGGGCGTAACGCTCCTGTGAAGAAAGCAAATATCATTAGTAGGTTAAATTAACAATTTTATGATTTAAGACAAAGTCAGAATTAAAATAAAGTTAGATATGCATAATTCAAGTGTTCGATTAAAAACATACTGATGTACAAGAAGAAATGCTAACTTTAATTCAATTATTACAAAAAGCAAAACTTCAAAAGTACCTATATGAATGTAAAGTATGTATGATATGTCCATGAAATCGAAGCATCTGTCAAGCATCTATTAAAAATTGCAATGCAATTGTGTCTATTTGTTGTGTTAATTTACACACAGCTCTGTTGTAACTATAATGAACTTTTACTTGCTTTGAAATCTCTGGACTTTTTTTCACTGAATTTTCCTAATTTTAATACAAACCCGAAGCTGTGATTTCAGAAAATTGAAAAATTATGGTAAGTAATACCGGAGATGCAGTTAAAATGAGAATGAATCCCTGAGGCACCAAACTACGATTTTCCTTGGTCAGAAAAACACCATCATTACCACGATCTTCAAATTTCAATGCATATGTATTCCTCTCCGACTGTGGTAGCTTCAGCTCAATACTCAGACGTGTAATTAAGTCCGTTAAAACTTCATTCTGCAAAAGATCAATAGAATAATATGCTTTTCAAAGGAGTTTAATTTGTGAATATGCAAATTAAATCTAATTTTGCATTAAAATTTAACGAAAAATATACAAAACCTAAGAAGATGAAACATGCTGACAATTATAAATATAACAAATGGCAATAAAAATTTGTACTATATTGCCTCTAAATTTCAATAAAACTTGCCTGCTTATCAAAAGTTACGTATGCCCAGGTGACGTTTGTATTGGAATCTGCTGGAAACTCATCGCCTAAGTATTTTTTTAAATGCGGATCTAATTTTACAGCTCCCTAAAATATGGAAATGGTAAATGAAAGGACGGTAACAAAGCAAAATTTATTCGAAAATTAATGGACCGAAATCCCTTCTGATACGTAATAAATCCATATATTCATATCCATATATTCAAATTAATTCGTAATCAGCGGCGTTTTGGTAAATGAATCAGACCATTAATGGTTTATAATAATAACAATAAGATCATTGGTGGTGTTATGATAGTAACAGTCTGATCTGATATGAAAAATTCCATTATATTTTCCTTATATGCTACCGTACCGGCTACCCTACATACAAAATTTGTTTTCTTTTTACCACCAGGAGTGGTAATTAAATAATAAACAACATGCTCGTAATAATACCTTATCCTAAAAAGCTTTAATATATCAACTTATAGGCTTAAGAGAAATCTAAATATACAAATTGAGTATTTTTTTTTTCCTCTTACATCTTATCCTTGTTAGAATCTCATGCTTTTGAAAACTAACCGAAAACCAACGGTTCAAAAAAATGCCTTAAACATCCGGAGCTATTCAAAAATTATTTTCTGTCCCGTGTTGATGCTTTCAATACGATTCGAGAATATTCCTCCTAATAATAGTAGTCTATTTCGTTCTACCTTTTCAGAAATAATACATAACATTCTCACTCGAAAGGGAATGTTATTTGGTTAATCAGACGTAAATACCAATAGAAGATCTACCAGGGATATAATAATAATTTACATAGAAATTCACAATACAATGAATAATGCTTACCTTAACAAGATTTTCCGGAAGACGTATGTCAATTTCCTTCAATGGTTTTGAAGCAGTATGAAAATGTGCAGCACCAAGTTGATCTGGTCCCATTCAATTTCTTTCTTTTGTTCTAATCTAAAATTGGATACATTCGATAACAATGATCTATGTAGGAAGTAAAAGAAATACGAAATCAATATTATAATGAATTTTAGTAAAACTAATGAATGCGAAGCAATTATCTCATTTTCGACATTTTTACTTCTAAATATATTCCATTTTTAATATGCTTCAACTAATTTTAATAATTTTCTATGGTAAATTAAAACAACAAATTAGCATAATAAGCATAATAATTAATACAATGAAATTTCTAGTGATTAACAAAAAGTTGGAAAATTTCCTGTCGCAATTTAACTTCGAACCTGTCAACAACAATCATGATAATTTTTGAACTTCTAAGATTGATTAAATTTGGAGATTGATCAGAAAATTGAGGGTTTGTTTCTTTTAAACTTATAAAACCTCATTAGTCCAGTCCTAATTATTACTTATAGTCTTAGTAAATTATACTATCATAAACTATTTTGAAACTATTACTATTGCGTGTTACGTATAATACCCCTTATTTCATAAATTTATAACGCATATAGCCAATTACACGTGCACGTATCGTGCACCGTTTACAAACGTACATAATATATATGTAACACATACGTATACGTATACAGATAAACATATAAATTTCATCATTTATTTCTATGTTCAATATCTGTACTCTTCGAGACAATGTACTTACGTATATGAGGAATTGATCGATTGATTAATTGATTGATTGAATTGATTGATTTAACCATATCAAATATTAATGTAATGGCAACATTTTTTTTGTTCAATAATTTTACTTATTCAAATTTTCTTTTAAAAATCAAAGATGAAAAAAACGATAGATGCCATGAGATTCTCATCATGAATTTAACAGAATAAAATACGTTCGGTCTGAAAAGAATGAAAATGTGAGATTATTTGAGATGTGAAATTCTGGAATCTCTAATAAAATGTAAATGAAATGAAATCAGTTTTTTTATTTTAGGATGAATTTAACAGAATAATGATAATTATATGATAATTTCTTATTATGATATGATAATTTCTTGTTTTTTAGGAAACTCATCATAACTGAATATTATCAGATTGTTATATGATAATATGATAATTTCTTATTTATGATTTTTTTATTTCAGGATGAATTTAACAGAATAATAATATGATAATTTCTTATTTTAGGAAGCTCATCATAACTGAATACGATCAGATTGTGATATGATAATATGATAATTTCTTATTTATGATTTTTTTATTTCAGGATGAATTTAACAGAATAATGATATGATAATTTCTTATCTTAGGAAACTCATCATAACTGAATACGATCAGATTGATGGATAGTTTTTCAAAACTGTTAAAATTTAACAGCTAAATTCTTTATTATTCCAAAAACAATAATGAAACAAATTTTCTTCATTTTCTTTTTGTTTTGCAAAATGATTAGTGATAAGAAGATATGCAAGAAAAAATGATTTGATTATATGGCACTAATATGAGGTGAATACAGAAACATTCAAATATAAAATTGTAGGCGAACTTTAACATTCACTTAAAGACAAATTACAAACAACGAAGAATTTACATGAATAAGATGGAAACAATACGAAGGAAAGAGAAAACATTAATATAAATAATATTGAAAATTTAGGATGAAAAAAAGTAAACAAGTAAACAAAGATAAAACAAAAGAAGCGCCATAGTTATTATTTATTGCAATTATATCAAATGAAATTAAATTGATAAGAAATTCGGTCAACTTTTTTATTTCAAAAATTAACTTGTAATGATTATATAATTAATAATTAATAATTACAACTATTGTTTCATTTCACAAATATACATGTTGTGAAATGATCTGATAAATTCAATCAGAATAATCGAAAGAAAGATTTGATAAATGATAAATTCGATATAATTATGGAATAAAAATTATTGCAACTTAAGGTGATTTTTGGAATACAAGGAAACAATTAAATTTTAATGCTAATTAAATAAAACAAAAAAAAAAATTCTAAATTTTTACAGATAAGCAAAAGATATGGATGATAAAAAATGCTAAGCAATTGTTGATGAATTATTATTGAGTTTGACAAGAGCGCGAAAGAAATATATCAATTCGGCTTGTAGACGTGCTTCCATCACTATCAACAATACGTGTACCTAAAAATTAATTTGAATTCTAATTCACTATCAACAATACGTGTACCTAAAAATTAATTTGAATTCTAATTCACTATCAATAATACGTGTACCTAAAAATTAATTTGAATTCAAGTTAATTTGAAATAAAAAACTAAAATGAAATTTGAAAGAAAAGATAATCGATGAAAATGATCGATTCAAAATTATGCCAAAAAAAAGAAAATAATCATTTTACTATTTTAAATCTAACCTCGTATCAGTATTTAATCAAATTAGGCTATTTTAAATTTGATTAAAGTTACTCCTTTCCTTCCTTCCCTTTTTTTCCGATGAGAAGATCCCCTTTTTTATGGGTTATTCAAAATATTTCGTGAAAATGAAGAATGCAAATAAATATAGGTAGATGTTCAGATGTAGCGTAAAGAAGAAATCTAATAGTTATAAATTTAAACGTCAAAATTGACTTCAAAACGTCAAAACTAATTTCAAACGTCAAATAGTTTTTACATAATCTAACAGTTGGAAATTTCTCAAACGTCAAAACTTATTTGAAAATTATAAGATATTGATAATTTCGTAACTCAGTTAATTTCATACTTGAAATAATTCATTTGATTAGCAAACCTTTTCACACGATTTAAAATTGATCATAACAGATTGTCGTAATGAATCGGTCATTTCATGCGGATGACAACATGCCGTCTTGATAAATGTTTTTAATTTACGATCTAACATTACATTTACTTCAGCATAATTATAATCATCATGGCGTATACCTGTAGTTTGCATATTATCATTGAATGATTCTTGAATTTATTTTAATTTCGATCTTATTTAATTTATCGTAATGCTATAATTTATCGTATGCTAATTTATCGTATAGTAGTTTTGAATGTTTAAAGATCACAATCAGCTTTAATTTTATTTTTCTCTTTCCCCCGATACGAAAATTACAATCGATCATGTTTTGTACAATTGAATATTTTGAAAAAGATACTGAATGTATTTAGGTAAATGAATAATATATTTGAGTTACACCATTGAAAAATATTGAATAAATTATAATATATTTAAATACTATGCAAATAGATTAATGATTCATGCTATTTATTCATATATTTAATTGTTCATTCATACATTTATTATTATTCACTTACTTATTTACTCAATGATATTTCTATTGATTTATTTAATACTCATATTAATCTGAATATTACGTGATACTGTAAAAAAGAGAGGACTAAAATATGTTCACTTTAATGCCCACCCTAAAATATGTTCACTTTAATGTCAACCTAAAATATGTTCACTTTAATGTCAACCTAAAATATGTTCACTTTAATGCCCACCCTAAAATATGTTTACTTTAATGTCAACCTAAAATATGTTCATCATTAAAATTTATTTACGAGTATTAAATAATATTATTAATGCATTTGCTCCAACTTAACTTATAACGAAATAACATCTTACCGTATAAGGATTGAATGTACATCCAAATTGCATTGCGATATTTACTTGTATCCACATCATTATAAGTACCCATTCTAAATTAACAAAATAATTCAATGCTTATTTCTTGAAATTTAAAAATCTTCATTAAAAACAAAAAATGAAAAAGAAGATTTATTAAAGGATTATAATTGTAAAATAATTATTTAATTAATTAATTAAGAGAATTAATGAAATAATCATTTTTGACAGTAACTGAAAATGATAACAATTACGTGGAATAAGTAAGATTTTGAATGAGTGTTATTTTTTTATCCAAAATATCAGCCATTTCATTATATAATTCATCAACACAGCTATAACCTTGATCTTCCCATGAAAATTCCTAAAAGAAAGCTGTCAATTAATTAAGATGAATTTATTCAAACAAAAAAAAAAGAAAAAATCTAAATTGTATAAATTCATAAAATAAGAAAATATGAAATTTATTGAAATTATTTGAATCGTATCAAATTAAGATTTAAAGTTTGTTTGGAAATTTTAAATTTAATTTCGTTAATTTCAAGAATTACGAAAAGATTAATGAAATTAACAATTGATTGATATTTCAGTAGAGCGTATTATCCGTAAAACAAAAACGGAATTAATGTTGAAAACATTTCTAAAAATGATACAATATATATTATAATTAATTATTAATTATTATCAATAATTATTTATTACAATTATTGATCATTTTTGAATTATTCTTATTATTAATTATATTCATTAACTATTATTAATTATTATTATTATTTATTAACTATTTACTGTTATTATCATTAATTATTAATTGTTAATGTCATTAATTATCGCTAATTATTAATTATCAGTTATCACTAATTGTTAGTGCTGAGAAATATTAAAATAATAATAATTAATAATAATAGTTAGTGATAACTAATAATTAATAGTTAATGATAATTACTAGTTAGTAATTAATAATAATTAACAATTATTGATAATAATAATAATTAATGATAATAATTAATGATAAAAAAATAATGATCAATAATTGTAACAACTAATTACTAATAATAATTAATAGCAACAATAATTAATTATAATATATGATGTATCATTAACACATGTACATGTAATTCCGTTTATTTTACGAATAACGTGCTATACTGAAATATTAATTGTTAATTGATCATTCTTTTCGTAATTAATAATAATTAACTGTAATAGTTAATTACAGGAAAATTTGTTGATTGCGCAGTGCTAAAATATTAATTGTTAAGTGATCTTTTTTTTCCTTAATTAATAATAATTAACTATTACAGGAAAGTTTGTGATTACCCAATACTAAAATATTAATTATTAAGTGATATTTTTTTTCCTTAATTAATAATAATTAACTGTTACAGGAAAGTTTGTGATTGCCTAATACTAAAATATTAATTATTAAGTGATCTTTTCTTTCCCTAATTAATAATAATTAACTATTATAGGAAAATTTGTGGACATGTAAATTTCAAAAATTTTCACATTTCTATTTAAATTAAATAGTCTTCAAATTACTAACATGAATTTTATGAGTTCGAGCAAAACCATCATGAGCACGTTGTGCGAAATTAACATAACCAAAACGACTGTTAAAAGTGTATAATGATGATGGAGCATAACAATTTTGTATCGAACTCTTTTTCATACAATTATTTTCCGATTTATTTTCCGGTAAAGAAGTTTCTTCGGTTTCTGTAAAAATAATGAAATCAATGAAATGAAATAGAACGCTGCAAACTTTTTTCTCTAGTAGAAATCATTTATCAGTAACAGTAATTAGATGATTTTGATTTTTCTTTTTTCGAATAAAATTTTAATCAAGATTTTAATCGTAAATTTCGATCATAAATTTCAATCGTAAATTTTAATCATGATTTTAATCGTAAATTTTAATCATCATTTTAATCATAAGTTTTAATCGTAAATTTTAATCATAAGTTTTAATCGTAAATTTTAACCATAAATTTTAATCATAAATCTTAATCATGATTTTAATCGTAAATTTTAATCATGATTTTAATCGTAAAATTTAATCACGATTTTAATCGTAAATTTTAATCATAAATTTTAATCACGGTTTTAATCGTAAATTTTAATTATCATTTTAATCATGATTTTAATCGTGAATTTTAATCATAAATTTTAGCCATAATTTTAGTTATAAATTTTAATCAAAAATTTTAATCATAATTATTAATCATAATTATTTACCAAAAGTTTTCGCTGTGATACTATCACAATTATTATGCACTTTTAAAAAACTCTGCTCCATTTCTTCCTCATTCGGCTTCTTTACATCAATACTTAATTTTGCTTTTTTCAACTTATCCATACATTCCAGTAATAATTCAATTTCACATTTACTATCATTTTGATCATCGATTATTTCGCATGAACTGAAATTTTATTATTCAAATATTTAATATAATTAATTTACTATTAATTATATTAAATAACAAATCATTGTTATTATTATTATAGTGATTATATGTTAATCACTATAATAATAATGATTAGATTATGATATATTAATTTTGTCATAAGCATTATCATAAGCAAAATATGTGAAAATTAAAAACAATAATTACAATGAATAATACCTATGATTTACAGTAACTAAAAATAGGTAACCTTGTATGTTGTCCATTTGTATATACAATATCATTTCCTAAAACAAATGAGCATAATACATGAGTATGTGCCAATATAACAGATGCCTGAACCAATTCTGATAAACACCAATTTGTCGGTGAACAACATTTTGTAAGCGTCTGCAAAAAAATTAAATTTTACATAATAAATTTCAAAGTATTCGACATAATACTAATATTTAAACTCTCTATTTACATTTTATATATTATATGAAATATTCCATTTGTGATATTTGGAATAATTTATTTAATTAGTTTAATATGCACTAATTAGACCTCTGAAAATTTGTATACAACAATTCAACTGTAAAGAATATTAATTTGATTAAATTGCATAATTGTATATATATGTGTGTATGAGTGTATGTGGTGCGTGTGCGTATGTGTGCGTGTGGCGTGTGTATGTGTGTGCATGTATGTATGTGTATATTGTGTGGCATGTGTAGTGTATGTGTGGTGTGTGTATGTGTGTGCATGTGTGTATGTGTATACGTGTGTAGCATGTGTATGTGTATGTGTGGTGTGTATATGTGTGTGCATGTATTTGTATGTATGTGCATGTGTGTGTATGTGTGCATGTGTATGCATGTGTATGTGTGTATGTATGTATGTGTGCATGTATGTGTATGTGTATGTGTGTATGTTTATGTGTGTGCATGTGTATGTATATGCATATGTATATATGCGTGTGTATGTGTATGTGTATGTGTGTGGGTGTGCATATGTGTGCATGTATGTGAACATGTATTTGTGTGTGGTTTGTATATATATGTGTGTGTGTGTGTGTGTATGTGTCATTATTACTATAATTAATTTTAAATCAATTGGGAAAAAAAAAAAACGTACGGTCAGGTGGTCAACATTAATTGACCAAGGTTGATGAGCTAAAACAGCATTAAGCATATCAAGATTTTGAACTTTTACTGAAGCATATGATAATCCCTTCAACCATTCATCCTTACCACCGGTACGTTTAAATTCTTGCAAATGTAAATCCATCAAAAAATGACAACTATGCCTACTTGCAGCCTAAATATTACATAATATTATTTTCAAAAACAAACGTGCAGCCTAAAAATTACATATTATTATTTTCAATAATAAATGAAAAAAGTTCATTTTAAATAATCCATTTCAAATAAACTATAATTATTTCAGAATTAAGAATTCATTCTTAAATTAATTATAAAAGATATTTCATTTCAAAATATAAAAATTATTACAAATATATTTAGATTTAATTGAATTTAATTTTTTAAATTAAAAATGAATTATTTGGCAAGCAAAATTAATTAATTAAATTATTTGAAGAAATTATTACCATTAATGCAATATAATGTCGTTCGCATATGGCCATTGGACCGCTACCATAAAACAATTGCTCAATTGTCTGATAAAAAACTGTACGATATTTGGGATGTAATGATAGCCATCTGTAATTTTCAACAATTAAATAAACTTTTTTTTAAAAAGATAATTAATTAAATTAAATAAACTTTTTTAATGAAAAATAATTTAATCAATTAAATAAACTTTTTAAAAAAAAAAATTAAAAATAAAGAAAAATTTTTTTGAAATATATTTTTTTTCAATTTCAATATAATTTTCATTTTCCTTTTTTTGTCTCTCATTTTCTCCCTAAAACAATTAATAATTACCAGTAAGGAATATTTGAGATTGTCCACGCTTAAACCTTTTTCTTTATATCCTTCATTTTCAAATATATTAATACAATAATTTCACTAATTAATAATACTAATTACTAATTAATAATTATTAAGGAATATTTGGGATAGAGAAAAAACACAAGATCACGATTAAACCTTTTTCTTTATATCCTTCATTTCAAATATATTAATACAATAATTTCACTAATTAATAATACTAATTACTAATTAATAATTATTAAGGAATATTTGGGATAGAGAAAAAACACAAGATCACGATTAAACCTTTTTCTTTATATCCTTCATTTCAAATATATTAATACAATAATTTCACTAATTAATAATACTAATTACTAATTACTAATTAATAACTATTAAGGAATATTTGGGATAGAGAAGAAAACACAAGACCACGTTTAAACCTCTTTTTTTTTATATCCTTCATTAATATATTTGAAAATGAAAGATATAAAAAAAAAATAATTCCACTAATTAAGATTACTAATTACTAATTACTAACTATTCCACTAATTAATATTACTAATTACTAATTAATAACTATTAAGGGATATCTTGGGATAGAGAAAAGAGAAATAAGACAACAATCTTTGTCCTATTTTTTTCATATCTTTCATTTCAGATTTGTGATAAATACAATAATTTCGATATTACTTAAATTAAATTAAATTTTAAACTTTTAATATTTTGCATTGCTTCAAATTATAATGCTCGTTCTTTTGTTTTCTTGACAGAAGACTTTTTTCCAGCAAAATTTTGATAAATTATACCTAAAATACCTTTTTTTTTTTATAACAGATCAAATTAGAGAGCTACTGAATTTAATATTAATTAATATTAATTGATATTCAATTTTGATTTTAATTATTTGATTATATTCTTACAATAATACCGATATTATGTTTTTTAGCTTGTAATAGTTATATAAAATATCTTTTTCACAATGTATTAATTTAGCGAGTTATTGAATTTTATATTAATTATAGGATAGTTAATTTTGATTCCAATTATTTGATTATATTCTTATAATAATACCGATATTATGTTTTAGCTAATAATACTTATATAAAATATCTTCTTTACAATGGATCAAATTAGAGGGTTATTGAATTTAATATTAATTATAGGATATTCAATTTTGATTTTAATTATTTGATTATATTGTAATAACATGGATATTATATTATACCTAATAATAGTTATATAAAATATCTTTTTTTTACAATAGATTAAATTCTAGACTTATTGAATTTTATATTAATTATAGAATATTCATTTTTGATTTCAATTATTTGATTATATTCTTACAATAATACCGATATTATATTTTACCTAATAATAGTTATATAAAATATCCTTTACAATAAATTAAATTAGTGAGTTATTGAATTTTATATTAATTATAGCATATTCAATTTTGATTTCATTAATTTGATTACATTTTTACAATAAAACAAATCTTATATTAAGTTGTTATTTTCATTTATAATCATAAAATGAGTGAAATTTATAAAGCTTTACAAATTAATAATTAAAGTGTTTTAAGCAAATAAATAAAAGCTACTTTAAACCAGCTTCTTCTTTAACTAGTTTTTACAATCTGTTATTTAAACAATTTGTACGATCATCAACAACATTTAAACAATTATTTAAATTTAAACAATTATTCTTTTTCTTTTTTTTTTAAAATGATAAATAGCATTGATAATTTTGATGGGTTTATAATCAAAAGAAAATTATTAATTAAATTTTTGCTACTAATAAAACAATATCTAAAATTAATTAACAATTAATCCCTAATTCATTAATTTATTAATCAATTTGAAAATAATAAAATGAATTTTAAATTAAATGAATTTATTATCGCTTTTATTTCAATTAAAAATTTTTATCGTAATTAAACAATTTTAATTCTATTTATTATATGACGGAAAATTTTCGTTGAATTTTACATTTTGCTGATTTTAAATTCATCTGATCTTTCATAAACTATCTATTTTTAACAAATTCATTATATGTAAACAACTCATTTGTTGTTTACATAATCATTGTTAAATATTTAAATATACAAATTGATATAGAAAGGTTTAAATATAACAAACAAATAGATATAGAAAAATTTAATTATAATAAATAGATATGATTTAAATATATCCTGACTAAAGTGCATTAGTAAATTTATATTAAAAAGCCTATGTTTTCTGCAATGAAAGCAAGATCTTTTCTATGGAAACATTTTTAAGATATGTCGGTGTTGAAACAGCTAGCATACATAATGCTGGA